TACTCTCTTTCGCCTGGAGTGTCCTCATCGTCATCTGTGTGGCTGAAAAGACTATGGCGATACTCATAAAGTTTGACTTGGCCATGGAGTTGGTTTTTCTGAGGCGACTGAGGAGACAGGTTTGGCCCTCGGCTCTTAGGGCGATCAAAGTTCGTTGGAATCAGCAAGAATAGGAGCACGGGACAGGACGTTGCTGATGCTAGGGCTCACGAAATGAAAACACATCATTTTCGACTTGCAAAACAAACGTTGGTGCGAAAATTCGACATTTTGATGTTCGACAAATGACCGAAAAGCGCCGAACCGAAATTCGGAATGCAAAACCTCACTATTGCCTCAGTATGCAGGTGCATATCAACCCACTCATGTCGCATGCAGGGGTGACTTTTACTTCGCCACCAGTTGTAACCCCGCCCCAGCAGCCAAATCAGTCAGTTTCACTGCTTACATCACCTTGCTGTGAGTAAGACGGCTTGAAATGTGCTTGGATCCATACAAAAACTGGATCCAAGTGGATCCAATGTTTGTATTTTTGAAATTGTTGCTATGCTGTGACGTAGCACTTTCAAGGCCTGATGATGGGCCAGGCCCAAAAAATTGGTGAAATGTTAATCTAAATTTTGATTTGATTCGCAGTGAAGAGACCGTTTTTGGAGTTCCGAAGTGAAGTTTGCTAAATGTGTCAGTGGCTGCGTTGGAGTTTGAAAGACGATTAGAAAAGTATGTGAACCCATTATGGTATTACCATAATGGGTTCACATGCATTCGAATGGGACTTCGGGAATAAGGACACTTCGCGAATAAGGACAATTTACTGACGCCCCGCCGAAAGTCGTTATTCGCAAAGTTGCCTGGGGTCGAACATATTCCCAGGTTCGAAATACAGAACCTATCTACTCACACAGCGACACCGATCGATCGATTGGAGAACGCCCTCCCTCAATGATGTTCATCAAATGTGCATGTTATTTAAATTTTCTGAAACAAGCTTGCATGCACTTAGAAGAATAAGATAGGGAAAAGAAATAATTTCCCTTGGCTGTTGAATCACATGCGTACAGTACACTGACCTCATTCACTGAAGATGTAGAAGAAGAAACATTGTCCAATCTAGAGGAATATAAACATACACTGAACATCTACAACTGTACAGAGAGAGAGAAGCTAGAGTAGCACAGGGACAAGATTCGTCACGATTCATAGCCCTTGAGCAGGAAAACTGGCAGTCGGGTAAGCAGCCCGCCTGCCGTTTAGCGGAAATAGCCGGAAAAGGAATATCTCACTCATCAATAATAATATTCATATAGGTAGCGGAGGCAGGAATGTAAGTTTGGCACGGTGCACTGGACTTGAATGCCTGGTTGCAAAAAAAAGACTAGATACTTTTGTCTGAAAAAAACTTGTTAGTGTGCACTCACGAACATAAACACACAGACGTGGGCACACACACGGACACACGTGCCTATGTACCATACTGCTGTCACTGTGCACGGCAAGCATCCTAGCAGCACAGCTGCCCGTATGCACGGGTGCACACACACACACACAAACGCACGCACACGCACACACACACACACACACACACACAAGCGCAGACACACACACGTACACACACACACACACACAAACGCACGTACATACACGAACACACGTACACACACCACTGTACACGCCTATACATACACAACCTCACAGCATAGTAACGTTATAGATCCTCTTCCCATATTTGTCATCGGCAATACTAAGAAATACCACCAAAGGTTGTTGTTCAGTTGCGATTCAGGAACGCTTGAAGGGCATCTATTGCCAGACCCTCGCTTGCCATATCTACAGCCGGGCACGTCGTGATCGAGGCTGTATCGTCATCTTTCAGCGGTTCGTCTGCCGAGACGGCTGCTTCTTCGTCGTCCAGCATTGCCAGGTGTTCTTTCAGCGCTGCAATGCTCTCCTCGGCTGTGCCCTCGGAGCGGAAAAGCCCTCGCCTCAGCTCGTCCTCGTTGCGAGGTTCCGTTATCTCGACGTCACGCTTGACGAAGAACCGACTTGGTCGAGTCCTGGAAGATCACATGTGACAAGACCGAATCAACAAGAAATGTTTTGCAATGCAAAAACACACGCACCCATGACCTCCACCAACCCCTCCCCTCTGCTCACACACAAATGCACACAACTGGACGCATACAACCGGTACGCACAGACACACACGCATGCACACACATACACATACACGCACACACATACATATAAGTACGCATGCATGTGTGCGCTCACAAACGCGTATACACACACACACGGTAATGCACACCAAGGGTGATAGGAATGTGTGACCAGTTAATCAGGACACTACGACTCCCTGGCGCACATGCTATACATGTACAGTCTACTCCTGATACAGTAAAACCTGTCAATGCGACCACTTGGATCAGGTGACCACCTGTCCTAAAAGACCACTGAAACCAGGATCAAGGCATGCCATTTCCAGTGAAATGAACCTGGATGAGGAGACTACCTGGTTACAGAGACCACGTTTTGAAGGTCCCTTGAGCGGTCGTCTACTACAGGCTTCATTGTTTCACTAACGAACATCATTGGGCAGAAGAAGTAATTCCTTATAGCCGGAGTTTGCTATGATAGAAGTGCACTCACACTATACAAGCGGCAAGTGATGATTGGCAAGTGGCCCATGATTGTATGAGTGAACTTGGTTTACATGCGGCCCTTCAAGATAATATGGTTTGTTCAAACAGGGACATCGGCTTTGGTTCGCTACATCTCGAAAATCGCTACAGAAGAATAACGATTATCAGGACGTCAACTATCCGGATGATCGATTATCCGGTTCCCCTGCTACCATTGTCGGGCTCGGCAATAGAAACGTCTGATGTTTTGTTGATTTTCCCCACTCGGAGCACCATTCAAGCGATACACAACGAGACACCAGGTTGGAGTCAAAATGTATAACGATAGTGGAATTTTGAGGAGCTGGAGTGCACCTAGTTCCTGTTAAAGGGGAAGTTAAGGCAAAAATTAAAATTTCACCAGTTGTAGTCTTCGGGGTGCTGAGTCGAATGGTCTTGGTCCGAGAAAGCTGAGACGCTCCCTTCCTACTTGAATCCCAATCGAACTCGCGCACTTCCACCGAAACTGGGTGACTGCGCCCTACGAGATGGGGATTTGTATGCAAAATGTCAATAAAATCGCCATTTCGTTCTTATAAAAGCACGGATGACCGCGATTGGCCCATATGTTGTAGTCTTTTGGACGCTGAGTCGACTGGTTTTGGTCCGAAAAGGCTGCGATGCAGCGTTCGCCCCTAATTCCCAATCGAACATGGTTGAACAAGCGGTCACTTGCTCCTGCGTACACCAGTCACCTGGTCACCGTGCCTGCAGGGTACAACTTACAGCCTGTTTTGACCTTTTTTGGGTGCAGTCCTGTCACTCGAGTTGAACCTTGGTGTGAAAGTTGTCGCCTGCTGGCGTGGTGACCAGGTGATTTTGGCACCCAGGAGCACGTGACCGCTTCTTCAACCATGTTCGATTGGGAATAAAGGAGGAACGCTGCATCGCAGCCTTTTCGGACCAAAACCAGTCGACTCAGCGTCCAAAAGACTACAACATATGGGCCAATCGCGGTCATCCGTGCTTTTATAAGAACGAAATGGCGCTTTTAGTGACATTTTGCATACAAATCCCCATCTCGTAGGGCGCAGTCACCCAGTTTCGGTGGAAGTGCGCGAGTTCGATTGGGATTCAAGTAGGAAGGGAGCGTCTCAGCTTTCTCGGACCAAGACCATTCGACTCAGCACCCCGAAGACTACAACTGGTGAAATTTTAATTTTTGCCTTAACTTCCCCTTTAACCCTTTAGGGCCCACAATTATTTCAAGAAATGCACTGCATACGCGAGCCCGGGTACTTATCTGGTCGTAACTTTGGTGTCCTTTGGCCGATTTTGGTGATCTTGGGCTTTCTGGAAAACTCTTGGCCAGAGGAACACAGCGATAGCCAGCAATACATCACTTGATCCACAGAACCAGCGCCGCATCGCGATACGGCGCTCCAAAGCCAGCATTGCGAGCGCCCAACTCAAATTCTCTGCCATTTCAACAAATTGCATCGCAGATCGCTCAATTTTTTTACTGGAGAGCTGAGAAACATGCCTTTGCGATGACGTGAACTTTATGTAGGTGCGTGGGCCGCGAGTCAGGGAAAACCCCTAAAAACTAGTTCAAAATGCACGCGCTCGAGTTGACTCTGCTGAGCGAATTTAGTTCGAGTCTCGTATCTCCGCTCTCCAAACTCGGATCGCTTTCGGGTTTTTTCGAGCCGATAACTGAGACAATTCTAATGTCGATAGCCCTTTCGATTGTCCAATTTAGTCAAGGGACGGCCGAGTTACGCCAGGTTGCGCTTTGAAAAGTATGCACTGTACACTGGTACGGATATATCCGTACTATGGGCCTCAAAGGGTTAAGAGAATGAACAAATGATGAAAACATGCTGGAATCTGCATGTTTTAGATAGAATCAACCTGAACGTCCTCCGCTGAGTCTGCTATGTTTTAGATAAATGTATGACTGCTCCCTTATCCCAATATTCTTCTCATCCGAACCCCCTGGAGATAGCCTGCGCCCCGGAGGTGTGCGGACAATCGGCACTCAACTGTATAACTAATCACTGCATGCGAGTTGCTTAGAAGTGGAGTTGACCGAACGTGTACTCACCTAATTGCTGTTCGTGGCCTGTCTGTGTGGCTGGCACGACGTAGGATGTGGACCCAATGGATAGCCTCCTCCTCCGTCTTGGCAGCCTGGGCATTAACACAAACATACATACGCAAATATTCATTCGTTTGAGGGAAAGGTGCATGGGAAAAATCTGAAGAAAAGATTGACTGCCACCCCCAGGACTTGAAGCAGGTACCCTCACTTATGGCCAGCAATCCTCTACATACATAATCTATCTATATGCTAACGAGTCCACAAAGGACGAAACAGTTCTTTCCACAGATTGAGTACAACATCAAGGATATAGCGTGCTCATTCAATGCAAACCGTATGCAGATAGAAGACCAGATAGACAGAGAGACGGCTAAGCAAATGGAAGACCACAAGGACAGCCTGGCGGCAATGGACAAACATCAGTACAGGAAGATATTGAGTGGGGCTTGTGGGAGAATTAGACTATTATTATTACATACCGAAGGTTTATACAATGAATAAGAACAAATGCAAAGGAGCCATCAAAACTACGCTCCTTTCCGCACAAAACAGCAAGAAAGAACTAAGGAACAAAAGAGATCGCGTGCCTTGCGCACGCAGGCACGACAGGCTAAATCAGGTACAGCAGAAGAGAATACGTCATGATGTATAAGAATGCATAAGTACTGACGCAAGTCAGTACAACGTAAGAAGAGCAGCATGAAGTAGTACACTGTACACATCAAGGGGGTCATTCTACTTCAGGCTTTGGATATCCAGTTCGCATTGGTTCACACAAAGAACGCGGTAAAACAAAGACCGTTGCAAAACACGAGCCATGGAGCAGATCGTAAACTTTACACCCCACCTCAAACACTTAGGTTTCAAATTACGGGACCACTTTTAGAAAGCAAAAAAATGGTGACAGTCACACAGGCAAGCATCCATGCAGCAACAGCAGATCAACACCAGCATTTATGGTTATCTATGGACACCCACTGCTTATGCCGTCTCTACGTACAGAGAGTCCAGTTTTCTGTGCGGGGACGTACCCGTCACTACAGTCAGACCTCGCATGACCGCACACATCTGTTTTGCACAAAACATCCAGATAGGCGAGGGAACCGGATAATCAAACATACATACTGTATGTATGCATGGCGTATGCTGTAAATCGGTAACCAACGATTTTCTCCCGGATGGCGAGGGATCCGGATAAACGAGGACCGGATAAGCGACGTCTGATTGTACTAGTGGGGCTGGTCAAGGCTAAAAGACTGTTATACAAGCCTGTACTTCAGCCATGGTCAGCCTTGAGTTTTCACACAACTCGCAGTCTACAAGACCACAACGAAAAACAGCCGTATCACAACAAAACTTACCAACACGTATGTACGTTTCGTCGTCACCACCTCAAATGTAAAACCAAAGCTGGCCACCGAAGATGGGTAGTTGATGGACACGACCTTGGAGCAAAAAAATGAGAAAGAAAAATTCACACTTCGGATGAGACTCAAGTAGACAGAGGAAAGTACTGTAGGTCCCCGAAGAACTGGGGGGGGGGGGGGGGCAGCCTCCTATCCTACACCGTTCTTGGGGGGGGGGGGGGGTCAGCCTCCTAGCAAACACCGTTCTTATTTTCGTGTACTACAGTTTATGCACAGTTGAGTCACCGTGTCTACATTGGCATGCTGTGGTTGGTGAAATTCTAGCCTGGTCGTTCTTCGTCGCTCCGTTCTTCGGCGCCCGACAGAACTGTACACTTAGGAGTGTCACCACCCTCAAGTATCAAGGTGAAGATGCAGCTACTAGAGTGATTGCAGGTGAGAAGATCAAGCCCACCACCCAAAAGTGATCAAAGAGCGGAAAATCCCGTACGCTGCATCCATGGAAGCAACATGTAAACAAGAAAACAAGACAATTTCTAGCACGGCAAAGAGGCAATGAAGATGCATCGCCACATTATTGAAAGCATGAACCCTTGTAGCTGGGTTGGGGGGGGGGGGTGGAGGGGGTGCTTGTGTAGGCCCTGAATGATGAGAGGAGTTCATCGATAAAGATATGCGTGCATAAGCGGCACAGTAACATGAGATCACGATAGAGGGGTTTCCCATCTATCACAGGATCATGTGGGATAAACCTCTACACAAGTGTAGGTCACATGACAAACTGATGTGAAACCACTCTAACCCCAGGAACACCCATCACCTACCTGATCCATAGGTATGATGCCAGTGAATCCGACCGCCTGCATGAAATGCACACACACACACACACACACACACACACACACACACACACACACACACACACCATGTACCATGTACCATGTATACGCCCGTCGCAAGAGAAGCACGCAAATCTGCAAACGCACTGGATGTGCATCCACAGATTTTCTCTTATAGCAACGATAGCGAACAAGATCTGAATGAGACAGATCAAGACTTGCGCCAGATAACTGTCTAACCCACACAACTGGCGAAGCCATGTGAATCGACCACCAATGCACACCTGGTCTACACCACACGGAGTACATCGGCATAAAACGGCCAAGACCGTTACCTATGCACACCCTACACTTGCTGGGGTACCCAGTATAGACAGCACGCTGCTTTGATAGAAGCAGACACTAGATGCACTGGTACCTTGAAGTGAAATTGGAGTTACTTTACCAACCAGCCTCAGCTACTGAATACTGAGAACCCAGAGCCAACAGACATACCAACAACCTCGAACCTCGACCCCCACCACGACTACCCGAAATAAAACTTGGCCAAACCCTACTAGAAACAGTAACACAACATCGTCACCTCGGCATCATCTTTCAGCACGACCTAAGATGGTCAGCCCACCTTGACTTTGTGCTAAAGAAAGCTGTACAATCTTTTAATATTCTCTTTAGGCTCAAATCAACTCTACACACTAAATCACTCTCTCTCATTTACAAAACGTATATCCTGCCCATAATTGAATATGCATGCATTGCTGTCACCCCACTCTCAATCGCATCCCTTGACCGTCTTGAGCGAATCCAGCGCAAGGCGGCCAGAATCTGCCTCCGCCTCCCCCTCTACACTCCTCTGGATCATTCAACACTGCTCCATCGGCTCAAATGGCCGACAATGTTCTCTCGCCGCAAAGTGAAGCTCACCCTTCTTGCCCACTCCATAAAATACCAATATGCCCCACAACACATACGCTTGCTCAACACCCCCGCTCAAGTTACGGCCCAGTACAGCCTTCGACACGCACGCACTTGGCACCTCCCACCCTCCAGAACCGATCGCTGTAAAGACTCCCCACTGTACAAGTCCCTAGAATACTACAATGCCCTCCCTGCTAGCATTCGTGACGTCTCCTCCCGACCTGCTTTCAAACAAGAAATCTGCTCACTGCTGATTAACTCAATCTGCTCCTGCAGCGCTCACCCTCTCCCATACTTGTAAAGTTCAAAGTGATGTAAATCACTTTCCAACTGTTTAACCCACAATCTCACCTTCTCATAAATTTATCTCTTATTGGCGATGGTGCCATCGTGAGAATAAAGAATTCAAACCTCAGCCATGAAAGCTATTATAGTAACGACACACTGGATTGTGGAGCCGAAACTAGTCCGACTTCCAAATGCTTTGGCAAGAAAGTAGCCTTCCGACAGGTTGGTTCACACACACACACACACGCAGTCACGCGCGTACACACATGCACACACACATGCACATGCGCGTGCACACACGCACACACACACATACATGCACAAGCGCACACGCGCACACTCACACACGCGCGTACACACCCACACACACACACATGGGAGAACATGCTACATAACATATCGCTCATGGATCTGCTGATGTGAGAGTGACACGGACTAAGATCGACCACGAGCATATTGAGAAAAGATCTTTATCTCGATAATCGTTTTGGAGATAACAGCATCAATATCGCAACCAGGAGTACAAAACTACAAACTGTGTAGTAACCATTCTTTTACTGGTAATAGGTAACTACAATAGTAACAGACACGCAAGATATTAGTATCCCATCCATTGTTACGTGCGTTCACTGAATATCGTAATGACAAACTGGTTATGAACATTTCTTTTCACAAATACATTTCACATTTATCTCTCACTTCTTCGTTACTATTGTAGTCATCTATCACCAATAAGAGAATGGTTACCGCACAGTTTGTGCTCGTGATTGTGGTATTGAAGTTCCTTGTCTGTTTGCCAATGACGTCTCCTTGATTAGAACCTTAGCAAAATTAATTGTCTCGGTAGCCTGTCAGTTTTGTGCCCTGTTATCGCACTTTCTGACTGCTTATTATCTTGTTACAGTCGTGGATAGTTGCATTATAACTCGTTTCCATGTGATTTCCTCTATTTTAATTGGAACCGTAGCCACACAAAAAAAATAAAACATGTGAGGGTAGTATCACACTGACAAACTTCCTATTTGTACCATAGCATTTACCAAGAGAAGAGGAGGAGAGGTTGTAGCATTTACCTGCATATACAGCATCACTCTGCTATACAAAATCAATATGTAGAAAGGAATTTGCAGAAATCCAACCTACCGACTCTGTCTTGAACAAAGCAACTTCACCCGTGTCCAGAACAAACCAACGTCGCTTCCAGCCCTGCAGATATGCAACGGAATGATGACATCAGCACAGAGTGATGGCTTGCTTTGTTTCATCTCCGCAGAAACACTGTATCTGCCCAAGGCAAGGATAAGCTCAAATCGGCTCTGGGGACAGTTTCCATGACTGAAATTATGTGCATGTGCAACAGCACCCTATCACTGGCAAAAGAGTAAAACCAGTCACGGTGACCAATCTGATAGGGCGACCACCTGGCCCAGAGGACCACTAGAACTCTCACCAATTTGCAAAGGATATCATTTCCAGTCAAATGATCCCGGATACGACCTGTACTCGGGGACCTAATCTGTAAGGCTGAGCCAGACATGTTTCATTGTGTTCCCAAACAAAGTAGAGACAGCATGTTGATCGGAAGTATAGTGCCACTATAAATTACAAGTGCATCCATATTCCATGACTTGCACTCTTTCCCACAATTCCGCTTCTCCTCTCGCACTTTCACATCTTTCAACCCTGTTTCCTGGGAGAAGGCAGAGTAGAAAGTCTGCTTGCACCATAAAAAAAGTGATAAAGGCCAACAACAAGCATTTCCATGCATGCTCACAACACTCTCCAGGCGGTCTCTGGGCTACACAACAACACGGTTCACAACGAAAAGCCCTCATTGAAAAAGCCCTCATTGAATCTATGGAGACAACATTAACATGCTTACCCCAAAGCGTCGGCCATGTTTCTGAAGGAAGCCTTCCTTCTTCAGCTCTCCGTCCAGTACAGAATCGGGCAGCTTCAGCTGCTCACCATCGGAGAGCAATGCTATGCCTCCACGCACCTCACCAACCTGGCAAGAACACATACAGTAAGAGAAGGACAAGGAAATTCGTGGTGTGCACGGTTAGTCGGGTACCCGTGCTACCCGTGGAAGACTACCCGGACCCGATACCCGAAGAAAATACCCGACTCAGCCCTAAAGGAAATTATGACAACAAACCTCTTGATAGGAGATAGACCATTAACCCATTCACTGCTTATCCCGCACTATTTCGGGAGACCAAGAATACCATGACAGCCAACCTCTTGAAGGGAGATGGACCATTAAATCACCACTGCCATTAGCCATTACACCGGTGTAACATACATTCACTACCTAAGATAATGGCATGATTAGAAATTTGTAGCAGCACATCTTAAGCAAATGCACACGCACACATGCGCACACACACACACACACACACACACACACACACACACACACACACACACACACATACACATGTGCACACACACACACACACACACACACACACACACACACACACACACACACACACACACACACACACACATAAACACCCACAACACATACCTTCCAAATTTCTGAAGTACTTGAAATGTTATCATCCTGTCGATGCCGACGGTCCAACATAGATGTTGGTGATCCACGGGGCGACGCTTTTGGCGATTTCCTTCCACTTTTCTGAGCAGGACATACAGCGAACGAAGAACAGAAACGAGCTCATTTTGGATGGATGGGCAACGACGACAATAAGTTCCATAGAATTTACGTAGGCATAAGAATAATGGTTCATGTGAGAATCAGCTGGAGGGCGAGTATTCAGCATCCGCAGGAATGCCACCACCCTCTTGGATCAAGGTTCAGATACAGCTCTTAAGTGGTGGGAGGTGAGTAGATCAGACCTCCTGAACAGGCAGAAAATTTCGTCGGTCAAAATTGTTGTCCAACTCCAAAGAAAGGGATTTCGTCCGGTTGAAAATTTAGTCCATGGACTATAACAGTGTATTGAAACGCTGGACAAATCGACATTCGTCCGTCATTTAATTTAGTCCCAAAGCTCCTTGGAGGGAAAAGACGAAATTAAATTCCAGACGAATATTTCTGCTTGTACAGTACCACAAATTGGTCAAAGACACTATTGAATGATTGTCTAACATTCTGTGAGATTGGCCAGAATTGAGATGTTATGAAGAACTCAAAGCAATTTAGTTCCATGCACATTCACATACGAGCGCACCACCATACATCACACATTGTAAAGTTCCACAACAACGGCTTCGAGGTAGACCTCAAAAGCCCCACTGCACCATTACAGCAATAATCACACAAACATGGGCATGGACGGAAAGGGACAGCAAATTTCTAAAAAAATGACCCAAGACAATCTATAACCTGCACATTTTTTTAATAACAGCTTTACCCGAAACACTTTGTGATACTGATGCTGAATAGAGAAGTGTCCTGGAGGTGGGGCTCAGTACTTAGTCGATCGGAGGGCTCGATCGCGACGCACACCCTTGCATTCTGAATTTCACTCCATCCACATCCACCCCCAGGTGTATCTGGTGAGCCATGACGCGGAGACCTCCAGGTCAGCTGAGCCTAACAGGTCCCACCCACACTATCTGCTGGATATGTACTCTTAAATGCAGCTTCCAATTGTCCATCATGAAAAGAGGGTTCTTTGTAAAAAATAAATAAAAGAAACAACACTCACCCTCCTGCGTAAGCTGGGACTGAGCTTGAGTAGCATCTTCGAGATGCCGCTATCGCCACCAGAGTGCGTGTGAGCGCGCTGACGCATGGAGCTCATCGTGCCACTCGTGGTGGTGGTAGCGTCACTTCGAATTGAACTCTGCGACGACAGGAACGTGGCGTTGGAGCGGCGCCTCTCTCCCGGGCTCATCTGCAGCTCCAGCACTGGGATTGTGTTGGAGGACGCTGACGAGCTTATCGATATGTTGGCCTGCAGCAGAAACAACAAACAGGATTCCATAAAACCTGTCAAGGCGACCGCTCGGATAAGGCGACCACCTGTCCAAGAAGACCACTACAACCAGGATCAAGGGATGCTATATCCAGTCAAATGACCCTGGATAAGGAGACAACCTGGCAACAGAGATCAGGTTTTGAAGGTTACTTGAGCGGTCGCCTTGGACAGGTTTCACTGTGCCAGCAGCAGCTAATGTTCACACAGTGCATAGGTATCTTGTCGGGGAAATTATGAACACTATCCCCCGTTGTCATGTTATAGGCGCGTGCCCCGTATAGGTTCCGGGGTGCCCGGAACCCCCCCCCCCCCTTTTCACTCAAAATGCAAGATTTTGCTTCATTTTTTGAAAATTTTCCCGCGGAGGCCCCGGAACCCTTCCCCCCCCCCCCCCCCTTGAAGGGCACCGGCACACGCGCCTGTGTTAGTTTGCCGGCCTGTGTTAGTTTGCCGGCTTTGCTACCCACACATGGCCTTATGCACACATGCTTTGAGTGAAACACGATTTTAAAATATAACCTGCCCTTTATCAAACCGTATGTTCTCTAACTAGTTATTTTTTTAAGATACACGACGCACCCAAATGGGGAACAGGACAGTACGTTTAGAATCTGGGGTATCTTTATATCCGAACATACTTCATTATTGGGCAACACTCTCACGCCTGAGACACACTGAGCTAGAGTACATCACATCACAGTATGTCGGTATTACTATTAGGTGAGTACCACTGCATTGCACTTGTCACTTTATCTTACGACGAGAGAGAAGCACGCAGTACAAATTATTAGAATATATTATTATTATTATTTGACAGCAGAATTTGACAAAAATATTTTTTACGATCTGCTGAAAAAGTGCACAGTAATAAATGACCCAACCTGCTATATCGCTAGGCTCGTGGCTGTTTGGTTTTCTCCGACCCAAACGTTCCTGGCGTGCTCACAGTGCAGGCAGTACTATTACAACGGCGACCCAAATCTGCCCTCGCTAGAAGACAGACGACCCGCAGCAAAGCAGTCCCGTCTCTCTTTCTCTGAACTGATTCGAATGCGAAATGCCAGTGTCTTCCCTGCCAGTGTTCGTACCAGCTGACACCATGCATCACCAGTTCAGAGGTATCCAACCTCTACGGCTCTAGCTACATCTGCGCACTAAACTCAGCGGGCACGAGCACGGGCACAAACGCTGGAACAGAGCTAACGGCAGGCGTGATAACACAAAACACAGAACAGGCCCCAGCGACAGCGTTCTCGGCAGAAAATATGTTACCCTGAGTCAGTCGCTTCAGTGACACTCATTCCAGGGCCAAAACTGAACAAAGACACCTATGGCTATGGAGATTGTTTCACATACCGGGCGAGATCCAACGCTGTTGGAGCGTGGTACGCCGGGTACGGACAACTCACTGCCTGCCTCGGCATCACCCGGATTGGCAGCAGCACCGCTGTCTCTCTTCTTCGTTTTGGGCCGCCTGGAACGGCGCGTGGACAACCAGCGCTGCACTTTGGCCAGCGACATGGTCGACAGTCGTCCAATCCGCCCAGCCGATGATTACACTTTTCGGACTTCGCTGCTGCGGACCGCAGCACTACTCGCCTCTTTGTTGACAATAATATTTAGCCACTCTTGACTGCAAACAAGCAGCACTCGAACTAACTCTTCGTTTCTCAGTGCACATGCATGTCATTCCGAGATACGAGGAAGAAAAATAATCGACTCGCAAAAATCATGACGAAAAGAATGATCAAGAAGAAGCTCAGTCATACAAAAAAGTATGTAGACAGCAGCTAGCAGGGACTCGCCATGGCATGGAGAGACTCCCTGCTGTCTGTGTGCCAGTGCCTGCTGTGGTAGACATGTCAGAAGAAAAGTCTTGACTCCACGGCTTCACCATGATCACTGGCATCAGTTCTCGGCTACATGAGTCTGTAAAATCATGAACATACATGGACAGACTGACAGTGCAGATCAACAAGGTCAAAAACATACATTATAGTACTGTACCACGACCGTTCAGATAGTAAGATCACGACTCAAGTTGTAGATCTACTACTCTACTACAACTACAAGACAAGTCTATGCCGAGTTGCCGACTCGTCAGATCAGAGCCTGACAGAGGGACACTACATGTACATGGTTAGCATTTTACCGCTCACGCTTTTTCGACGGTCGGCCTGCACCGTTTTTTTTGTGTGTGTAGACATGGCATTTTACAGTTCACGCGCTAGATCCAACGGTACTCGTACCCCAAACCCAAAATACCGTCGGTTTGGTACCGTTTCGACGATAGAAAGCTCTTTTTAGCGGGTGAACTAAACGGTAAGATTCTAACTAGGGTTACCTCACACGTCTGTCATTGCGTCAGGAGTCAGGACTCGGAAGCCGAACTGCTAACCGTGTCTCGAAAACACATCAAAAAAAGTAGACTCGCCCTCTACACGCCGACCGTCCAAATAGCGTGAACGGTAAAATGCTAACCATAATTATTATTAGTGCAATTAGGAGTATAATCGATGCAGACATGGCCAAACAACAACGAGTTCATGGAATTTTTAAGGATTTTTATGTTATTCAAAATCGATTTTCGTGTTCCGCTCATCAGTGAATAGTATCGGAACTGAGGGTACTGTGTACAAAAATAGAACATTTTATAACAGCATAATTAATTAAAAGTGTGAACAACAAAGGAAGTGCTACAGCATTACATAATAGGTGTCAAACATAGTGCTAACGTATGTATAAAAATTCCATGAACTCGTTGTTGTTTGGCCATGTCTGCATCGATTATACTCCTAATTGCACTAATAAAATTGCTTTCTCCACGCCGACTCATAATTATTATAATTGTATTAGGTCCTCTAGTAATACGAAGTTACGTCAGATAGTGTACACAACCCAAGAAATAATTCTTATTCTACAACAAGATTTAGACTAGAGTCTACTAGAGAAGAGGATTTGATGCAGTCGTGTTTGTGATCGTACAAAGACAGTGTGTCAGCGTCTCACTCTCAGATCCTTGGAAGGCTTGGTACAAAATACTAATACTTGAAGTAATAGTGCTCTAATAACCTAACACGGGGAGAGCGTACTACTACTGGACCAAAACGGATGTACCAGTCAGTATAATGGGCAGTATTCGCTCAAGAGTGTAGACTGTAGAGTATGGTTTATCGTCGGTGTTAGTAATTTTTAAACACAAAACTCGGAGTCACGATAGCGATATTATTGGTCTCTTCTTGTTCTGCCTTATGCTACGTACAATGTTCTATCTCTTAATTTGCTGGCCAAAGATCCTATAATTATATAGGATTTGAAAATGTGTGCCTTTTATGCCGTTGTTATTGGTCATCACGACCAATAATAATAGCATAATGGTTTTCATGGTAGTTGTAAATATGTTTGAGGCATGAATGTTTACATTTTAGATTCATAGGGTGATAATATTTCTGATGAATACCCATTTTCAGCAATAATTGGAAATTTGAGCATAATTGTTCAGCTGCTGTCATGGAAAGGACTGAAGCAGTGAATGTGCAGAAGAACATTGCAGGTGTGGCATGGGGTGGTTTCATGACGACATACATGTATCGCACATGCCGTCATGAAACTACCAGTTTTAAGGATAAAACAAGGTCCAATAAAGTCTCAAATCCTATATATAGGATTCGAGAAAATAGGGCACAGGCCTTAGTAATATTGGGCAAGGAGATGAGCCTGAAATGTTAATGTTTGAAAAAAATATCTGATTCAACTCTCGATATCTACTAAGACCTAGCAAGGAAGATTATTGGTCACATACGTTTTGCTATTCTCATGCCACACCCATTTTGAGTTGAAAAATATGACCAAAATCCTATATATAGGATTTAGCAAATTAAGGGATACTCATCGACTTCTACTGCAGATCTGCAATCTGCCACGTAATCCGCCCATCCATCCTTCTCTTTATTGTAATGTACAGTGTACATGTACATGTACATGATTGCACAAGTACAATGTACAGTATCTGTATTTCGCTCCTGCTCTTGTAGCAGTTGAGCACTCTTGCGTGGGGTAGTGCCTTTGCTGTTTGCGTTATGCAGAGCTCACTGACTTGTCAGTTTGAGCACTCTGGCAAGGTACGTTCGGGCCTGATTGGAAATTTTTATTTCCATTGCTATCAGGTTCGGCCTCATTTTCTCTGTGCTGCGCTGATGAGTTCAAAAAGAACGAAACAGCATGCTGTCCGCAGATTGAGTATCTGTAATTCTGTATGTATCAAAATATTTGTAACATGGAATTTGTGGGCACAAGTTGTGCAATCGAGCCCACCAACTAAACCAGATTTTGAACAGTCAGACCTGCCCACAATTTCCATGTTACAAATGTTTCCCTTGGCTCACCACCTGAGTATCAAAATAATTATAATGTACATGTACATGTACATGGAATAATAATCTGGGCGCCCAGCATGTGTAATTTAACTTACTATATTTGTACTCAATCTGCGGACAGCATGCTGTTTCGTTCTTTTTGAACTCATCAGCGCAGCACAGAGAAAACGAGGCCGAACCTGATGGCAATGAAAATAAAAATTTCCAATCAGGCCCGAACGTACCTTTTGTATGAATTCAGTTGAACCTTTTCTACGGGCAAACAAAACACAATTTGCAATTTATGGAGGAGTAGAACAGAAGAACCGAATTCCAGTACTGAAAAGCATTGCATGAAAGGAAGAATGTGATAAATAGATTAGAACCGTACTCAAATACAGCAATATTCAATGCAGCGAGCATGTGTAATGTTCTCTACCCGTAATTCGTTTCGTTTCTGTTCCCGTCGTTTTGTTTTGTTCATTATTTTCCATCTAACACAGTTACGTGTTACTTCTGCCCATGTTGTCCCAGGCCAAACATCATTCCTTACAGTACCTTGTGTATTGCTGTTGCTCATGAACTTTCTTTGGTGTTAGTCTTTGTTGCATAATTTGTGATGTACACAGCATTGAAATTTCTCCCCCCTCCCCCCAACCCTCATATTTCATTCCAATTCCCATTCTCACATTCGCGTCCAGTGTAATTGGTCTTACATGTAAATGTACACGTATGCTCCGTGTGTAGGGTCCAGCGGATAATGCTCCGAAAATGTTAGTATAATGCTAATCATAATGATCCAAAAATTACCTTGTAATGCTGATTATATGCTTCAACAAGGCTAGCTATAATGCTCTTGGTTTTGAACAAAAATGGAAGAAAGGCTGCACATTGTCAAACTTCCAGGAAAGGATGCATTTAGTCGATCTGCCTCTGGCTGTGGCTGAATAGTGGGTGTATCAAATCTTTTCCCTTGCTTATCTATGTCGTGAGAGGTGAAACCATTATTGCTGGTGATCATTTGGGTGCTGGAAGTATATCATGGGAAGTGGTATTCCTGCCTGCAGAAAAGCTGTCACTGCTTCCGATCTGCGAAAAATGTCTTCATCTGAAACAGCTCACGTGAAGCCAGTTACTGACAGACTGAGAGACGATCTCAGATCGAGATCCCTCCCATTTGCGGAAATCCTGAAAACACGTCGTGGTCAGAAGTTATTTTGCCACTCTACATCCTCTGCTTGCGCTGTCTTCTTCTCCTGAGGTTGCGTGGAGACAAATGGTTGGCCAGAATACTCTTCTTTTCTGATAGCACTTGACTGTAGGCCTTGCATTACAATCGTCCACGACGAACTGTACATGCTTCACCAGGAAAGTAAGACACGCGCCGCTGAGCACTCAAATCGTCTTGGTACTGCGTCCATGAGAAATTCGAGTTCTTTTCGAGTCTGCTGAGGTGGACTCGGCAAAGGCAGTTATTTGGAAAATGCTCTTTCTTTTTATAGCCGCTCCTTCATCCAGGTCCAAATTTATCAATGGATCAATGTTTACTTCAGTATCGCTAGAGATGCTATGGCCAGAGCCTATGGCATAGCAGGAAACCTCCTCTTCGTCTGTTTGATATTCCACTCGCGTACAATGTACGTCTAGTCTCCTCCATGGCTCTCCATGATTTCTAAAAAAGAACTTGTAAATCATCGTTGCGGATTTTGTGTTACAGCCTCAGTTGCAACGCGTAACCAATATTGTCGTTGGGCATGCTACATCACCTGTACATTTACCTGGCTACATTGCTACATAAAGGCTTTATGTGGCGTTACTAGTGCTAAAGCTGTTACGTGTCTACAAAATCACAAAATGATGTGCCGGTAGATCTACACTGTAGATTCTACATGGCGTTGCACCTCATGGCTTTAGCCGATTGTTGCGAAAAACCTGAGATTCCCGACATTATCCACTATGAAACTCGTTATGCCCCTCTAACCTCACATAATGCTCGTGTTGTTCCTTTCTAATGCTCCATAATGTTCTGATGCTCGGATATTCTCATAATGCCGAATATAATGCCGGTATTATCCGCTGGACCCTTGCCCTATGTACTTGAGAAACCGAAATGGAGAATACAAACTTTGTATCCACTGGTTTGAGTGGAAGACACAAACGGGAAAAGTCTGAAGAAAAAATTGACTGTCACCACCAGGATTCAAACTAGGGATCTTCGCCTGAGGCCAGCGAAGCTCTAACTACTCTGGGCTAAGGGGTAGCCATCACCCCAGCAGAGACCGTTGAACATTTTCTGCAGACTTCGTAACTTGTACGCACATGTACATGTAAACGAAT